ACTCTTAGTCTGACTAACTAACTCCACTGTACTCCGTTCCCCCTTTTATATAATTTTTCACCGCATCTCCAAAATTCTCGAATTGTCTCAAAGACGACAGAACGTCTAGGATTCCAGAATCATCGCGTAAAGACCTCGTGAATGACAGCCAGTCTTGAAAACTATACTGGTAGAACAGAAAGGAACCAGTCCGTAACAGTATCACTTGAATCTGGTTTCAAAAGTACAACCCTATTATAGTAAATGTTTTTTCAGTATTCTGAGAAATACCGTGAGAAAAAAAAAGTAGGCATAAGGCAGATAAAAATATATAGCCTTAGATAAATAATAGCTCGCCTAATTTCTACTAAAATTTTTATTTTTGCCATTTTGTCTAAGCTCAAGGGGGGTGTTTAAACCCCTCCCTTGCGTACGCCACTGCTACCAATAAATTTTGCCGCGTTTTAAAAGGTATACAGGACTGTACAAATACAGTCAATACTGGCTCCTTTATTCCATTAAAATAAACGAATTCCTCACGAAAAAACCCCTTTATTTTTCCTTACTGTTGAAAGTTTCGAAAAAGTTTTAAAAGTTGAAGAGAATAAGAATATGCTTAAGGAATTTTTTTTTTTATAAAAACATCATAAATTGATTTTTAAATATTCGTAGATTAAACAAATTTTTGGCGTATATTATGCTTCATACTTTCTTTTAGATATTATTTAATTGTTTCAAACGACGATATTATAAATTAGCTTTACTAACTATTGAAAAAAATAGCTAATTAACATTGGCTTTACAGTCTCAAAAGCAGCTGGTTTCACGATTAGGCTTAAAATGTATAAAATTTTCGACAAGATTGCATATGGAATAACCGTTTTAAGGTTACGCGATTCAATTATGGAATTCATTTGTTTTGGTTAACATTTTTCACGTAATTATAAAATTAATTTCGGTAAATATTTATTATTTTCTATCATTTTATTAAATAAAAGTCAAAATTTTTCTGAATTCTCAGGTATACGAATTTTTAAGTCATTTTAAAGTACGATGTAAAAATTGCTTTACAATTTACCTTACCATACCTGAAATTGTATACCTTACAATTTAAACATTTCCCACTCTTGTTTAATAAAACAATAAACAAATTTAAATATTTACTGATATGTATTTTTTGCATGAATTATCTTTGGATAAACGAATTATATAATTGTGTGAATTTCTTTTAAATTTCACTAAAAAAGTTCTCGTGATATGGCAAAATACGAAAAAAGCAAAATAAGCATTTAAGGGGTTCAAACTTTAGACCACTCACTCCCCTAAGTAAACTATGTGGACCATATTTTCGACATTGCGGTTACCTCCTATAATTTGGGAGTCAGAAATCAACATCGGTTGAAAAAAAGGTATGTTTATTCAAAGAAAGTGCTTTTTATGTCTAATTTCATAATTTAAAATATCGTGTGCACTGGCTAATTAGTATATTTGTGGTCACACCCTTGAATCATTAACACATAGAAAGACTGAAACTTAGTAAATACCTATATTCCCCAAAAGCAGTCAAAATGACTGCATTGTGAAAAAATAACTAGAGAGTAAAAAAATTTGTCAATTTTCAATATTTTTTATATTATTTATAGTTAAACAACAAAGTATTAGTAAATATTAACAACAACAAAATGTACTTCACTTGGAAAAAAAATTATGCATTATTATTTGTACATTTTCTGCAAATGAAAAAGCAGTTAAAATGATTTCCTTGGGCAATCTAGTGTTAAGAATGAGTCCTAGAATGTGAAGATCCGAACATTATATCAAAAGTTGTTCTGGATGGTTAGTTTTTTATTGGCGCACTGTACATGGTTGGTCGTTTTACTAATTAACATCACACAAGATCTGCACAATTGGCTACTGGTGACAGATCAGATGGATGATCCTGTACCTCCAGAGATGCTATGTAAATAAAAAGAGTAGCATTGGTGTCTGTCACATCGTTGCCAGGGCGACGAAGGTAGAAAATGTGACCTTGTGAATTTTATTTATACAATTTTAGTTATAAGGAGCATAATAAAGAATAAAATGGAACTCCGTTTTCTTTCAAAATGAACAAGAATGTGGTGTAAAATAACTTCAAGATGCATTTATTTAACTTTAGAATCGCGAAGCTTTCTAACTCATTTAGATTGTATCAAGTTAGCACGATATTATATTGCATTGTACCCCGTTTTCAATACTACATACATCTAGTTGGTTGTATTCATCAAATACCTCTAAAAGAAAGAAAAGTTAAAAACCTACAAATTTTATAAAATTGTTAAATTAGCAAGTAAATAATATTGTAAAAATCTGTAAAGATAATAAAATGTTTAAAGTTTCCTTACTGTAAGTGATTTTGGATGACCTGTATACCCATGAACGAGTACTTTTACTGTTGAATTATCTTTGTAAGGAGACTTTGACAGTGATTCTGCTGTTGGTTTCAGATCATAGGGCGTCTGTTTATTGGAACGAGTATGCAACAAAAACTTTGTGTGCAGTTCTTGTGGCGGTACACTTACTGGTCTGTACAGAGGATGGTACCAAGGAGGACCGGTATAGAAACATCCCAAATCACCGAAACATTTTGTCGTGAAATTCACTGCAAAAAAGAAATGACATTATTGAACATTCGACGTAAAATCTTTCCTATGTTCATTAGTATTTAATGAAATTGTTTTTCAAAAAGTCATTATTTTCTATGAATCAAGCATTCCAATGCACATTGTTTAATAAATTGCACCAATGTTTTGAAAAATGGAGGTCTTTTTGATAAAATGAAATGATCTATAATACAATATATCATATTGATTACAACACGTGATACATCCGGATATACTACATAATAAAAGTATGAAAGTGATTGATAAATAATAAATGCTAAAATGTATAAGCTGTGTTACGGAAACGTTGTTGAAAAAAAAAAGGAATTTTAACATTTGTTCGATTTATAATTTTCCTTGCATGCAATATTTAACCCTTTTAAGACCTCGATCCCTTCATGGCGCATGGCACCCTCCATGTAGTGACTCTTTCTGACACCAGCAGCTCATGAGGACATGATTTCAATTTGGAATGTTTTATTTTGAATTTTTAAGTAAACTTAAAAAATGGTTGTTGAGTCAGTTGATAATTTCGAGTAATGTCTCACGGAGAATAAATCTTCAATATGCGAATCCAAATTTATTATCACCCGAATTACTTGAATTAGTATCGATTTGTATTGATTATTTTTTCGTTTAAAATTTAATAAATTTTTATTGTTTTCTTGGTAAGTATTTTTTAATTTTGTATGATAAATTTCAACTAGAATTCAGCTATTCTGTTTATAAGTTGCATATTGAAATTCGTATCGAGATCTTGCAATTATAAAATTTTATTGGGTGGTATGTCATCTTAAAGTATTGAAGGGATAATCTATGCATATATAATTTGAGAATAAAGTTTTCAAGAGAAGAGCATATTATTTTGGAATTCTCCGGATTTAAAAATCAGGTAAGTGTTATGATTTTTATAACAAAAAATTTACTTGTAAATATTTTTTTTTCTAATTTGATGATAGAATGGTTTTCTAAGTCCGATTAAGAATTTAAAAAAAATATGAACGCTTTTTATTTAATTTGATGAATTTTTATTAAAAGCTAAAATTTTTTCATAAAAATGTTTGCCAAAAAAACTTGTTGTGAAAAATTAAATGATGCAAAATGCAAAATTTTCTTAAGGAAAATACTTCAAAACTTGAAAAAACGACCCAGAACATTGGAAAACTGATTTGAAGATGTATGATTCATAAAACTATGGAATGAAAAGTTTAAATAGGCCTTTCGTGTTATATCATTAAATTTAGTAAAACGATTACGCAGGCATTAGGTTTTATCTCTAATAAAAAGATACATATTTTTTTCTGTTTATTTGCAAATATTTTTCCGATGTGCTTTGGACATTCCTTCTCTAAAATAAAAAAAAGAGATACCATTTTGTTTTCGCTACTATAAGAAAGAATATCAAACAATTTTCTACTTCAAATTTAATAGGCCACAATAGACAGGGACAGTGATGACGTATTTCATGACGTCAAACGACGCGTCCTTCCAATCTCCGTTCCAAACATTCTGTTGAACGATCCATTTAAATGGCATTTCCTATGTTAATTTAAGACGGCAAGATTTTTAGTTGTTTATTGACATAAATAAAATTATTTAGCGCTTTTAAGAGACTTATTCCTAATTTATGTAGTTTTCTTTATACGGGGTATCAGTAGGTTTTACGAGTTAAGTGCATTAAATGCTATAAAAAAAGTTTCAAAATGGTCAAGTTATCTTTAATTTTGATATATAAAAATTTAAGCGTCAATATTTTTAACTCCTGTTTCATGTTTATAATAATGTCTTATTTTATTTAGAATTTGTTACATATTCTTTATCTACATCTAATTTTTTTCTTTAGTTATGGATAGGCATGCATTGTTTTTAAAAACGTTTTGTAATTTTTAATTTATAATTAGATTGTATTTATCAATACTAATGTCTGTTTATTTAATTAAGTCTGATGATTAAATTTGTAGTTATTGTAAACTTTGTTTGCTTAAGATTTTCTGATTATTGCTGCTAATTCTCATTAGCTTTAGTTTTTAACTACTAAATAGGAATAAATTATGTTACTAACTTATTGTTAAATGTGCACAGAGTTTTAGTTTAAACTGAGATTTATTTTGACTTGAGATTTTTTCTTGTT